ATATATATATATATATAAAGAGCATCACATCTAACACTGTAAAAAGGCTAGTCTAAAAAGATAAGTCTTGGTTGCTGTCTTGAATTTATTAATTGAATTTAGGTCCCTGATATCACCAGGAAACTCGTTCCATAATGTGGGGGCGGCCATGAAGAATGACCGGTCTCCGAGAGTCTCGCGAGACTTCAATGCAGGATAGTTTAACATCAAGGAGTTATTGAACGCAAGCAATATATACTTGATCGCTATACATTTCCTAAGATTCTGACAAGGAGAATTTTCTTATCAATCATTTTCATTATTCTTATAACCTTCATGTGTAATTCAGGAGTAATAGAGTAAGGAGAAATTACATGTTAGTCAGTCTAAGGGGTTAAAAGGTTGACCGTTCTTATGCAGCTTGTCACACAGTTATCTGGAATTTTTTATTAGTTTTCCAAAAAATGTAGGCCACTCAAGAAATGGGATACAAAAGATTAAATGAGTTTGGCCTAACTTCCTTGAGGAGTGATCTTTATCTATCTTGGGATGTCATAGGTGCCATACATATAGTACCGGTAATTTGAAGGTTGGTGTTTTACTTCCTTGCAGGAAAGGGATAAAGTTGTACGTTGGACAAATCTTGTGGACATATTCTGTGGTTTGACATTTTACCCTTTGGAGCATGTTGCCTGGGCAAGGGATAAGAAACTGCTGGCTGGCAAATCTGACAAACTATGGGACTTGTCTCTGTACACTTGGATAGGATCACTTATAGCATGTATTATAAGAGATTTGTGGCTTCTTAAAAAGCTTTACCACCTAGGAAAGGGCAAGTCAATATCCAGGTAGGTTATGTTTTAAAAAATAAATTATTTGGGAGGGTGACACTATAACTGGTGACCCAATAAGGTTTGCTTTTGAAAACTACTTTTTACCATTTGAACTCAATGAGCTCAATAACTGAGATGATTATTGTTAACCAATGTAGATATATAATCAGAAAATTCCTGTGATAAATGAATAAATTGTTCCTCATTGATTGCGATGCATGTAAAGAGAACTTCAATTTCACTTCAATATTTCTCATTGCTAACTGTAATGAACTTCAAACACTTACATAATTGTAAATAAAGAAAAAGAACTGTGTTCAAACTACATTTTTTCTCTTCAGGACACAATTAGTAAATGACAGCAGTGGTGATATTCAAATATCATCATCCAGGCAAAATCAGATAAAATATCTGCAAAGAAGACTCATTGTCTCAGTGATTGGATTCACTTCTGATTTAGGAATGGCCATCCACTGGGCTCCACCTGGTTTCCTATGGGCAGGCAAAATGTCAATTGGAACTGTTGGCCTTCTTGGCACGATATCATCTTTCGCTGAACTGTATAAGTACTTTAAACCAGCTGCTGCATTACCTGATGAAGCTCTTGGAAGCATTTGATGTTATGGAACTGTGTTATTTTGTTTTCTAGTCACCAACTTAGTATATTGATGGAAGTAGCATTCATTGTACTGTGTATTTAAATACTTCATGCATTTTTACATCAAAAGTAAGCATAATTATAGCTAAACTACAACTTGTCATTTCAAAACCAAAATTGAATATTGAATCAGTAAATTCTAAATTATTGCTTCCAATTTCTGATTTTAAATTCTTGGTCCCCCTCTCACCATGCTATTTAGTAACTAGCTGGGGGTTAGGTCAAAGGAATGGGAAAAAGAGAGAGATATCATTGTATAACGTTCTTCAAAGTAATTTCAAAAAGCTGTTCAAGCAAAGGAATACAAGAATTAAAAACCACAGTACATCACATGATCTAGTCATATTTATAATTCATTCTCCATTGTGTTCTCTACAATCAGAGATTCTTTAGTTGATGACCTTACTGTGTGATTAATTAGTTCTTATTAACCGAGCGGGAGGTCTATATGGGAGGGTCTTGACCGAGGTCACCAGTACAGACTGAACGCAGCGAGGTCCGTACCAACAACCAAGGTCAAGTTTGTCCCATACAGACCGACCTAGCTTGGTTAATAAGATGTTTATTATCTGGCTGTGTCTTATATGCCAATTTTTTATATTCTTTGTGCCTTTTTTTTTAGACTGGTTTAGATGGGAAAATCTAGACCGCTTTTAATATTGATTTCAGCCAATAAAATTGGTGAATTTGGTAGTTCCCAGTCCTTGTGAGACACAGCCATGTAATAAAGGGTGATATTGTTTGGGGAATTAAGATGTTAGTCACTCTCAGGTGTAGGTCCAAAGGTTAAACTTGAAACAACCTTCCAGCCTTCTGTGATTATTTGTCCTCCCAGAACCTTTGTCTTTGGTATGCTCCTCAGACCCCCCCTAGGAGAAAAGAGGCCTCACTGCCCCCTTTTTGGCACAGCCCTACAACACCATCAGCAGCTGCTTATGGAGAAAGTTATTGAAACCTTTACAGAACACACTTGTTTAAATAATTGACTCCTATCTACCCAGTTCATCATGATTGTTCTTTGTACTTCCCAATAAGAAGAAGAAAAAGAAAGCATATCCTTCAGTACTTGAGGTGTTTATTTTATTTGTGCCTTTATTGGCAAGCTGACCAAGGCTGCTTTCCACAGCTTATAGCCATTACAATTAAATTTCCTTGTGATACATTCTTCTTTTAAGTAGCCTCGTGTGCACTGTAATGTAGTTTGTGTACAGTATTAGATATCCCTCTGGTATACTTTAAACTCAAATTTGATTCCATTATCTTCATGAACACCACTTGGCACTTCTGGATCACTAAATATAACACAAAAATTAACAATTTAACTTGCCAACAATTGCACAGTATAAAATTCTCTCAGCTGCCAGTTTAAATGTAGGAATACCAGCAGTTGAGAACCATTCAGTAAAAGGTCATTTTAAACAGCCTGCAGAGCAAAAAGATTGCTACACTTAAGTTCACAAACATTTTGCTTCACTTTATTGAAATTTTTTTAGATAGACAGAGTGATTATTTTATTTTTCAGTCCTCTATTCACAACTATCACATATTCCTTTAAATATAGTATTCAAGAAGTGTGCCCTGCCTGTCACACACATTGGGTGGTCTGCCTGGGAACAGAGGCTGGTCATCCAGCCTAAGTCAGATGTTTCAAACATAGTAGAGAAAAGACCAAAATTACAATGCAATTGTTTTACATTTAGCACCTTATGACATTTTTACTGTTCTTTTTGAAAATTGAGGTCTATTTCTCCCAGGATCTATGATCTGAGTTTTCGGAAAATCAAAATTGCAATTCAGTACATCTCATGTGAAGTTGGGAAATTAGAACTAGGTTAAGAGTTTTTTCCTCAAAAAATGAGGAGCTTTTTTCACATACCTTGTCTCCTTAAATACAGTTTTGTCAAAGGCTGGGAAATGCACATCACAGTCAAAATCTTTCATCACATGGGTGATGTACAAGCGGTAAGCACCAGGATGCTGCAGTGCTTCCTTATGAATGAATGATAATAAGAAGATTAATAATAATAATTATCATAATACATCTTCTTTACTGGAGTTCACTAGATCCACACAATTCAATGTTATATTCATCCAGGCCCTGTTTGATAAAACCTAACTACCATGTTACCCACACCAACGCAGCACCACAGTTTCTTTAGAAACTTACCCCTTTATTAGAAGAACATGATTCCTCTGCAATAACTTACAGCATAATGAAAGGCAGGAAATAAGGTGGAAACCTATCATCATTTATGATCCAATTAGTTTATTTATTTAGCTTTGCCAACCGGCAGGGACACCGCAACAGCTTGCACCAATTACTGCAGGCCCAGTAAACCCACCCATCCCACCCCAGGGGAGGACATCCATCACACAGTAATCTCGTGTGTGGGAAATTAACGTCTCCTACCCCCAACCCTGCAGGAGACGGGACCTCCATTTATTCATCCCTATCCGAGAAGACTAGAATATCAAACCGTTTTTTGATGTTATAGAAAGGTAGCAAATTCTTCTCAATTATTTTAAGACCTTGAGTGTTGGTCTGGCCGGGGCTCAAATCCTCGACCTCCCGCACAACAGTCCAGCACACTATCCATTGGGCTAACTGGGTGGTGGTTGATTCTAGTGTGTAGTGGCAAATACCCACCTTATAGACTGCTGCTCCCCCAATCACAAAAATTTTCTCCACTTTGTCTAAGTATGGTGCAGTTGACAACAGATCAAAAGCACCCTGCAGGCTGGAACATAGGCTGGCTCCTTTAGGAGCTTCACTGTATGTAGACAACAGAAATAAAAATATATATGGATTTATTAACTTTTCTTTTTGTTATTGGGACATGTCATGTGCCAGATCAAAGGCTTGTGACTAAAAATGACAGTTCTTTTAATGATCACAAGATGTTGTACCATTAATAAAAACAAATTGCTCTTAATTAAGAAACTGAGAAAATGGTCATGAGGCAGCTATATAGGGTGGGTTGGTGTGTTCAGTCATGATCTACTTAAAAATTTATTAGGCTGGCTTCAACCAAAATGAAATTGTGAATAACCTGGACCCAGTCCTCCCTTCTCCTTACTAAATTGTGAATAACCTGGACCCAGTCCTCCCTTCTCCTTACTAAATTGTGAATAATCTGGACCCAGTCCACCCTTCTCCTTACTAAATTGTAAATAACCTGGACCCAGTCCTCCCTTATCCTTACTAAATTGTGAATAACCTGATCCAGTCCTCCCTTCTCCTTACTAAATTGTAAATAACCTGGACCCAGTCCTCCCTTCCCTTACTACTAATAATAAGAATTAAAAAAAAGAGCTTATAGAGCGCATAAGTTATAAAAATATTCTAATGCGCTTCACATGTATAATAATATAATGAAATTGAAAGGAAGTTGAGGGATTAATTACTTCATTAAAAAGAATAAGTCAATCAAAGAATGCTCTAAATCCTGTTAATATTCTACTTGGATACTTATGACTTCTTCGAAAAAAACTGCCCTAAACTGTCAGTGCCAAGACAAGATATGCTTCACTGGATTCTAAATAAAACTAAAACTGACAAGAAACTGAATCTCTACCTCAAGTTTTTACTCAACATAATGTTAATTCTGTGAGGCAGAGGTCTGTACTTGGCTGGTATGGATTCCCATGTCTTCCGACCCATGATGACTGCATTTTGCTTCCCTACAAATGCAGAAAATCGTGCAATCAAATACACGGTGGTGATCATGCATAAGTTTTGCACTCTTACCACAATATGTGACTTGGTGTGGGGCTTGACATTAACGGTAGCCAACTAGCCACAGACCAGCTTTGGCTGGTGGTTTTTTATTTCCACTAATGAATTTGGCTAGTAAACAAACTGAAATTGTTGTAACATCTAAGCTGTCACTAGCCACTTGGCTAGTAAGTTGAAAAGTTAGTGTTGAGCCCTGTTGATGGACTAATCAAAATCTCTTGAAGAGCTCAACCTACCATCCGCAGACACTTCAGAAGTAAGATGGGAGAAAAACTTCATATCCTCTCTAAAAACAAATTCAAATAAAGTTCCACTCTGCTTAGTATGGCATTGCTGTTTATCAGTACACTTGTCTCTAATATCTCTAATCTATTACTGGCAGGGAACATGCTATAAAAGTAGAAAATAGGAAAGACCTAAAAGCTCTTTCACAGTTATTTCTAAAATAAATAAAATTTATTTATTATGTAAACACCAATGAAATGCTGAGAAAGCTTTCATGCGAAAACATGATATCCTCACACTTGAGGACAAAATATTATCTTCACATGTGAAAAAATCACTGTTGCTATGTGAAATGATTCAGTGAAATTATTTAGTAATCCATTGGTGTTTACATAATAAATAGAGTATTTTATTACACGACTTGGGAAGTCAGAGGGCCAATAACTAAAATCAACCAATCAAAATGCTCTATTGCCGGTCAACATTCTCTCAGTATTGGAGTGGGCACTGTCTAAAAATGGTCGCGAATGATACCGCACTTGTGTCCCTTTGAACTTCAGTTGTATAATAAATCTCTTATTAACCAAGCTTGCTTGGGACCGTACTGGAAGAATATCGGCCCTCGGTCTTTTTTGTACGGCCCTCGGCCTTTTTTGAACGGACCTCACTGTGCTCGGTCCATACTGTCAAGACCTCAGGCCGATATTCTCCCAGCACGGCCCTCGCGCTTGGTTAATAATATATATATATTTGCAACATGGACAGGAATATTGTCAGTTAAAAGTGGAAACAATAATTGTCCTTGTTTTCAGTCTAATCCTTGCACTCCCAAGTTCTGAAAGCTTATTCTTAAAACCAGGGACCATAAAAACCTTTGTTACCCATTCTTGAGAAACTGGAGTTATTTCAAGACCCATTCCACTGAAGTTTTCTTAATTCTCATTATGTATCCATCTATCTATCTAAAAATTTTAATAAAATTGTATGGGCTAAACTAAAAAAGACTGGTCCACATAAAAAATATCTAACATTGTTTATCCATTTATTTTAGATTAACCATAAAATCATTGAAGGTAATTTCATCTTGACATGTAAACTGCAATAGAAGCTATTGCAAAAAGAATAGCCTGAAATAATCTTACTGTGCTTTGTATCTTATTTGTGAAAAAAAAGAGAGAGAGTTATTCAAAGATAATCAAGTTCATTGCAGTCAAGAGGTTATATTTCAGCTGAAAGTGGAGGTGGATGTTGATAATCTAAGCTTCATTGTAAACTTAGGGTTCATCTTGAGTTTATCTCACACCAAATTCTTACATTCCAATTCTCTTTTCATTTTCACCCCAAAAAATAGAAATTATGATCCTCTGCATGGGTATTTGTTTCCTTTACCCTGTTTTCCATCTATTTTTTTTGGATAAAACGTTCCAGGAACCTGTGAAAACCGACGCCCGTCGTAAGACCACACCCTTGAAATGCCCTCATACTTGCCCCTCCCACACCCACTTGAGGCACTCGAAGGAATCACCAACCGTGGAAATATTACACCTTTCCAAAGGAACAAATTGAAAGTTAATCAGATCTCGAAGTATTATGAGTCCCAAACCCAACTCTAATACACCAAAACAGTTAAAGCTAAGCATATCCTAACAAAACAACAACAAGAAAAAAAAAGCAAAAAACAAAAAAACAAACAAAATGTTCGGAAGGTGAATTATATAGAATGGAAATGGCAATTGAACATGTTGAGGCAATCAGGGAAAACGTGACATTCGCAAAAAAACAGATCCTGATTTGAACAGCTTTCCCAGGTTACAATAACTGCCTCGAGATTTCATATAGCTTGTGTAAGTTCGGTTTTAAGATTATATTTACCACCAAAACAAATTTCAGAACTTCTAACAGTGTATCATCCTGATCATCGCATGCCATGCGAACATGATGCTTTTGCGACGCAACTGGGGTAGACAATGTCACCTGGCTTACTTCAGATGCCAAGGGAGTTTGTTATCTTTTCCAATTCCTCCACCTTCTGCCACAGCAACCACACAACAAAACTTTCGCAGAGTAGCCATGTTTGAAGATCGTCTGGGAAAGCTGAAGGAGTTCAATTGATTTTGGCGCGAAACGAAGCAAAACAAAGGTCGATGAAGGTCACTCACAATAGCCGCTATCTTAGAGAAAATTTAATTGGTTACCAGTTCATGTACTGTTTCTTATCTCAAGGGTGATTGGTCCACATATCAAACCAAAACATCAAATACGAAGGGTAGCTTATCGCAAGCGAAAGCGAAGTACCTGTGAGGAAAGTGGCCGGCTGATCAGAAGTTTTGTTTTTATTTTAAAACTAAAACTTGACATAATCGTGTCGTAAGGTAACATGGCTGAAGCCAGGGCGGCTGTTACAAGGCCAGATGTCCATCTACACGCCGAAGGGACAAGCAAATCAGAAGCCGAAGTTGAACTGCTGAAAAGTACTTTCCTGTCTCTCAAGAGATGTGCCTTCAGAACTCGGTAAGCTCAGGCGCGAGGTTTTACAATGCCTTGATTGTTTTACATTTAGCATTTTAAGACATAATTACTGTTGGTTTTTCGAAATTAAGGTCAATTTCTCCCAGAATCTACGGTCTAATTTTTGAAAAGTTTTTATTTCCACCTATCTTTCGCACTCTCCCAAGAGTTTTGTTCACGGTAGTTTATATCACAACCAACAGTGATGTTGAAAGCAGATAATGATTTCATTACAACCGGAAAACCTTTGATCTAGATATCTTCGAGAGAAGCCAAGGTTTTTCAAAACAAGGACCTCACTTTCCTTCAGTTTACGGCGGTCTTAAGATGGAGCTTAATTTTTTCGCACATCCCGAGTTGCTGAAAGCTACTTAATTGGTGTTAAAGGATCGTACGCCGGGCACGTACAATATCATCTGTTTAGTTTGTGCTTTGACATTCAAAAAGTAATCGCCGCACGCTTTGTTAGAGATTTAACAGAGACATAAATTACTTGTAGTGTTGTCGAAATTGAAGTTTTGTAGATTATATTTCAAAAATTAATATTCTGTTGGTGACGATTATCCCATCCATATTTAAATGCGCCGGCAGAGCTTGACTTTGAAAGAGTTTTGATTTCCTTTCGCACGTGTACTTTTTTTGCCAGAGGTCGAATTTCAGCAGAGTTTTTACATGACAGGTATTAAGTGTCTCTTACTATTGTTTAGACTCACCAAAGCGTCTTTTTTTAGCATATCAAATTTTTTGCGTACTTGGAAGATGTTTTGAAATGGACTTTGAACCTTGCAACTTTGGCATACCTTCTCCCTTCAGATTGAACTGGCAAACAAAATAAACTTAAAAAAATAGACTAAAGGAATATTTAATAAGTTTAGATTTAATTGAAAGTGGTATTTGGATGTTCGAGTTTCGTGGAAAATAAATTACAGTTAAATGAAGTCATTCAATCAAATTGGAAATTACATATTGGCAGTCTTTAATTTATTTCATTAAATTTTCAATTGAATGTGTGAGGGAATTAACGCGTAGCTTGGAACATAATTATGGCCAAGGGAATTGCAGAAGTATTCTCCCAAGTCATGAAAACGGCAGATACTTTAATTTTGAAAAATGATCACATCATGTGTCTTGATGATGTGATAGTACAATGTATTTAGGCACCTGCAGAGTTAGGTCTGAATTGGCACTGAAGTATTTATCAATTGGTATTTATAAATACCTCCTCTACACCCAAGGTTTTTGCAGAAATTCAGCGATTTGTGTGTGATGCCCATTATCCTGTTATGCTTTGAGCCAACCTCTTGGGGAGGTTGTGGAAATTCTCTTTGTTGTATTCCATCAGTAACTACGTCTCTTTAATCACATATAAGATAACTAACAGCAAACGAATTCAATCAACATCCCTCGCTCCTTGCTCCACGTGTCATTCCCCCCTCAGGTCATGTGACCGACACAACACTCTTGAACCTTTTTTAAGCCATTTGATACCTAGCCTTGTAACCTAGCTGTGTTATGATTTGCATTAGCCTGCAAACAAGCTCCCTGTAGGAAATATCTTGGTCTATCTGTAGTTACACAGGTTTGGATAGACAGTCTATACATGAAGATTTGTGCAGTTGGCAAAGACAGTGTGGTAAATTGATGAGTTTCAATAAAAGCTGATTACAATTGCCTATGATTCTTCATAAGGTTTCTTGATCACCATAATGTGGTTAGATCATTATTCATAAGATTTGGGTGGCTTCTTTTGTGGTTACAGCCACTTACTGAGCTATAGCTTGCTACATCTCAGCCAAAAAAAAAAGATATTGAAACCCTAATGTGAGTTGTGAACTATTTACTCCTTTGGGATCATCTTCTCCCTATTGTAAGCATGACAGGTTGAGAGAAATTTCAAACCAGTCAAGCAATCCTCATACCAGTTAAATTTTCAAGAATTCCAAGTGATTTTAGGAAGTAGTAAGACATAGTACAGGGTTAACTGGATACCGTCTAAAAAGGAGAACATGATTACAGCTTTGCCAGCTCAGCTAGCAAAAGCTTATTGTTTTTAGCTTCAGGACCTATTATGATTACTGCTATACTCTTTTCCAAAAGCCAGATTTTATTTTATTTTATTCAGCTTTGCCAAGCGGCAGAGACACCGCAACAGCTTGCGCTGATTACTGCAGGCCCAATAAACCCACCCATCCCACCCCAGGGGAGGACATCCATCTCACAGTAATCTCGTGTGTGGGAAATTAACGTCTCCTACCCCCATCCCTGCAGGAGATGGGACCTCCATTTATTCGTCCCTATCCGAGAAGACTAGAATATCTAACCATTTCTTGATGTTATAGAAAGGCAGCAAATTCTTCTCAATTATTTTAAGACCCTGAGTGTTGGTCTGGCCGGGGCTCGAACCCTCGACCTCCCGCACAACAGTCCAGCGCTCTATCCATTGAGCTAACTGAGAGGCAGTTTTGATATGTTGAACTCACTTTTTCTTGAACAGGGATGGACTTGAGTAAATGTTTATCAAATCTCTGTTATTTCACCATGGATATATTAAACTCTTGTTGTCTCTAACAGTTCTCCATTGTGTTCAGTAGTTTTGTTGAGAACAGAATACTTCCTTAAAATGAATAAAACTGGGAAGATTCATATATGCTTGAGAAAGCAGTACATATTTGAAAATCAGTACAAAATCATGAAATGTGTTACAATCCAATCAAAATTTAATTTCAATTGTGATGGCAGCTTGTGTGGTCTGTGGAATACTGTGTTCTTGCTAGTTCATAACCATGCATTCATATCGTACCTTCCCCTCCTTTGGTAGTGCAATCAATAACCTTGAAAGTTCTTGGTATGTTAATTTGAAGTTAATTGTTATCTAGAAATTGATGGTAGAAATGTACAACTTGGATCTAAACGTCAGAACTCTGTCTTTGTATAAAAAAATTTATGTTTAGATACAACTTCTTGCTTAATGTGCATAACTCCAGCCACATCAATCCTTAAATTAGATCCTGGACATGAATCCCAATGTCTTTTAACTGCAAATAATACTTATGGAAAAACTGTAATAACACAAGAGAAAACAAGAGATAAGGATAAGAAAACTAAATCGTTTACAATAGAAATCTACATATTAACGATCACTATGAATATTTAAGTACTTGAACTACAGGTTCCCAGAGGATGTACATGCTGCAATGTAATGCATCTTATTATAACAAAAACTGCATACTTTGACTCTGTTCTTGTCAGTTACTATTACTTTACATGCAAATCATATTTATGTGTAAATTTTTTTTCAGTCGCCAGATAGCAAATGGATTATGGCCAACAACCTGGTCCAACTTACTTGGTGCTGTTGTGGTCATTGCTGCCCTACTTTATGCCACTGATTTCTACAAGCTGTCATCTCTCCAACCATTTACAGCAGTCATTTGGAAAGTGACTTATCTACTTAATCTGGATGAGAAATATCCATACAACCTCAGGCTTTTGTTCATTTCAGTACTGGCTGGAGTGGTTTTTTTTATTATCCTTCTCTATATACGACAGTATATGTTGAGGATGCTTTTGGCTTAAAGAGGATGGATGTGTAAGTACTTAACTTTCCCTGCGTTTTAATGCTTTAACTCCCAGAAGTGGTTAATTGACGTGCAACTTCTCTAGCAGGCATAATGTCTATATATTATCAGCAAACAGGTAATGAGAATGTTACACTAATCATTGGGAAGGTTTTATCTTGATCTAACACAAATTAATTCTTGTCACTTGTTTACAAGGAAATGTAAAGGAGCTACAGCTACATGTAGATGCGAAAATAAACAATCAGATCTTTGGAGTTTACTTTAAGTGTCAATGATAGTAAGTCAGCCAATTGAAAATAAGAGTATTTGGTGTTTTGATTGATTTTAAAGAATTGCAAAATAGAATGTAAAACTATAGTGGAACCCTGTAGCTAAGAGTTCCAATGGGTTAAAAAAAACTGGCCATATTACTTTGGCAGGATAAAATTTCTTAATTGTTTCACAAGTTGCTTTTTGATTAGTAGATGACAGAGATTAATGAAATTGACATCCCACAGTAGTTTGGTCTCCTGAATTTAGCACTAGCAGTGTATTAAACACACAAGACATACGTCAGTATAATACTTGCTCATCATGTTTTGGTAATTACTATATTAATCATTCTAGGCTCAATCATCATAAAAACTCTTTTTCCATAGTTGGTGCTAAAATTTGGACAGCATTCCCAAAAGCTATCGGAAACTACCAAAGCACATGTTCAAAAAGAAAATTCAAGCATTAATACTATTTGAAACTCTAGAAACTCTAGATAGTAATGTTATGCTGACACCAGCACTCTTATTATTTTCTGAAATAAAAAAGGCATCTATAGTTACAATTCAATCATAAATTATAATATTTTTCTTCACTTTTTATCACTTTTTTTTTCCTCTTTTGACAAATAATGTATTCAAAAGCGACTTTTTTAATGCCTTCAATTAGTAATTCGTGTTTGTTTGTCCTTAACATTGCCCGCCTAGATTAGCTCACTATTTGCAGGCAGTGTTTATTGTAAGTAATTGTTTTGGAAGACCTAATAAACTTGTAATTAAAATGATGAAATTGAAAAGGATTATACTTTTTGGGATTTTAAAATGTGGCGGCTGGTCGTATTAATGTATGACTGTATAAGGTTTTTTTACAAGAAAAAATATAGCCGATGTCCCGAGCCATAAAAAGGTGGCTGTAATATCAAGGTGATTGTATTAATGAGGTGGCCAAATGTATGTCAGCTCCATTAACTCCGTCAATCCAAAACATTTTGATTACATAAATTGTTGTCATTATTATTTCAATTGAAGATGAGAACCCAAGATCACAGAGCAAGCTGACTCTATTGTGGGGTGCAATGGTAAAGCTTTGTGCTGGTCATTATCCAAAGCTGTACAGTTATCAAAACAGCCTTCCAAGAATGCCTGTACCAAATCTGAATGAAACTTGTAAAGGGTTGTTGCGTTCTGTGAAGCCAATCTTAAGTGAGGAAGAGTACAAAAAGATGGAAACTCTTGCTAAGGTTAGCATTCAATGCCTACATGCTTGTATGTGGTCAGTAATTGATATGAAAGGTACAGCTATATTTAATACAGATTTGATAGAAATCAGTTATTTTTAATTGGTTCAAAGTGGTCATATTGTACATTATTTCTTTGACATATGTTTCGTCAGGTTACATTCTAACTACTACTGTAGCTCTTTCAGAGCAATAGTCAATGTGGAAGAAAAAAAGTTTACCCCTTGCTCTGAATCAAGTATTTTGAGTTTAAGTGCTGAGTAACATTTTCTCTTATTATACAGCCAGTAGTGCATGTGGGCAATATAAAGTGAATCCTGTGTTCTGACTGGCTATAGGGGAATCCTTGTTTTCAATATTTGCCTCATTAGCATAAGCAAGTCAGTTTCTGATAAAGCTAAAAATAAATCAGTTCTGAATATCGAAAGGTCAAAGTACAATTAACTTGGCCAATGAACACTAGCGTGATGCATTAAATACTTTTTGTGCAACACGGGTTTAAAAACTCAAAATTTTACATAGAATGTA